GTGGGCGCCTGTAAAGCCCAGCTACTCAGGACGAGTGAGGCAGAAAGGAGAAATTGCTCGAACCCCAGGGAGGTGGAATTGGCAGTGATGACAGATCATTCCACTGCACTCCAGGCCTGGGGTGATCAGAGCAAGACTCAAAAAAAAAAAAAAGAAAAAAAAAAAAAAGACTAGAGGGAAAAAAGAAAAGAAAATAATTAATTGTAGGAATAGATTTTATTCAATTTGATGTATCTAAAATATCACCACTTCAGCATGTAATCAATATAAAAATTACCCATGAGATGTTTTATATGCTTTGTATCTCAATTTTGATGCTCAATTTCCAAAAGTTACATTAAAATGGAGACTTACCAAGGCATTAATATCATGTTTAAGGGGAGAGTATTTTATGCTGTTTCTGTTTTTAAAGTTAAATTTAAGTTAATTAAAATGAAATAAAATGGAAAATGTTCACTTTCTCAGTCACATTGCCACATTTCTAGTGCTAAATAGCCACCTATGGCCAGTGGCTTCTGAGATGTACAGCACAGGTCTAAGCCATTTACTTACCTGTCTTGTTTGTGGACACAATACCAGAGACTGACCCAGAGGAGGTCTCTGCAGATATTAGTTGGAGAAATAGATGATTGTATATCTGGATGAATGGATGAGTGGATGCATGGATGGATGGATGGATGGGTAGATGGTTGGATGGATGGATGAATGGATGGAGGATGCATAGAAAGATGGATGCATAGATGGCTGGTTGAATGGATACCTGGCTGAGTGGATGAATGGAGGGAAGGATGGATGGATGGATGGATGGATGGAAGGTTGGTTGAGTAGATGCTTGGATGGATGAATGGATAGATAGTGATGAATGGATGGATGTATGGATGGATGGAGGAATGGTTGGGTGATGGTTGGATGAATAAATGGCTGAATGAATGGAGGATGGATGGATACATGGATGGTTGGATGGTTGGGTGGCTAGATGAATGGATGAAAAATGGATGGATGGGTGATGGATGGCTGGATAGATGGATGATCGAGTAGAAGGTTGGATGGATGAATGGATGGATGGATGATGAATGGATGGGTGATGGCTGGCTGGATAGATGGATGATTGAGTAGAAGGTTGGATGGATGGATGAATGGATGGATGGATGATGAATGGATGAAGAGGTGGATGGTTTGATGGCTGATGAATGGATGGAGGGATGGGTGGTTGGATGGGTAGATAGATGGATGTTGAATGGATGATTGGATAAGTGGTTGGGTAGCTGGATGAATGGGTTGGGTGGATGGATGATGGAAGAATAGAGGGACAGGCGGATGCATAGATAGAGGGATGAACAGCTGGAGGAATGAATGAGTGTATAATCCTTGCTCCTCTCACTACCCATGACCAAGTGGCACTGCGTTTTCCACTTGCATTTTCCCACACTCTTCATCTTTTTTTTTTTTTTTTTTATTGAGACCAAGTCTTGCTCTGTCACCCAGGCTGGAGTGCAGTGGCACAATCTCGGCTCCCTGAAACCTCTACTTCCTGGGTTCAAGCAATTCTCTGCCTCAGCCTCCTGAGCAGCTGGGATTACAGGCACCCACCACCACTCCCGGCTAATTTTTGTACTTTTAGTAGAGATGGGGTTTTACCATGTTGGCCAGGCTGGTCTTGAACTCCTGACCTCATGATCCACCCGCCTCGGCTTCCCAAAGTGCTGGGATTACAGGCGTAAGCCACCAGCTCCGGCCCACTCCTTCATCGTTCTAGTCTCATCCTTGTCTCCCAGATGTCCAATCCCCTCAGATTCATTTCTGGGGGATTGTACTAGTATCCCTGCACTCCCATAATTGGCTAAAATGTCACTCTGGTGTCTTCTGGTTCTTCCTTGCCACCTCTGGGAGTGGACCCCTCGCCTCCCAGAATCAGGCTTTTGCATCTCCTCAGCTCCCTCCTCATTTTCCACAGAGATTCGACGGACTTCTCCTTGCACCACCAAGACCCTCACTCATTCCATCACGTCTTCCTCTGACGATTCATTCATTCCACCAACAGGCACTTATTGAGCATCTACTATATTCCAGGCTCTTCCCTTGGGAAACAACTGAAGATGTGACATAGAACAAGCCCTTCTTTCATGGGGTTGACAGTCTCGTGGGGAGACAGATGATAAACAAGACAAAGAAGCAAAACATTTAGGAGGTCAGATGGTGACGAGTGCTATGGGAAAAAGTAAAACAGGAAAGAGGAATGGAGAGGTTGGTGGATGAGCCTGGGGGAGGTGACACTGGGCAGACTCGCACGAGGGGAGCCCACGAAGCTCCCAGGTATCGGGAACCGCATGCCAGGCGGGGGAAAAGCAAGGGCAAAGGCCCTGCAGTAGAAACCTCCCCTGGGTCTTAGGCCTCCTAGTTTGGCCAATTTCTTGCCACTGCCCACTCAGGTACAACCTCAGGCCCTACTGCTCCCTTCCCCGACCTTCCTGTGCGCCAGGGCTGCCTCCCCACCTGCCTGCCAGTTTCCCTCTCAGGACCCCTAAGGACCTGGGCATTCCCTTCCCCAGACTCTCCCCACCTCCCCGCCCCAGCAACACACAGAGCCAGGACAAAGGGTCATTGAATAGAAAACAAAGGTGTAGGCAGTCCAGCCCGAGGCCAGGTGGGGTGTCATGGTTCAGTCCCCCACCTCCGACATCAGAGGGGTTCACTCAGCCTCAGAGGGGGAAGCCTGGCCCTCTCACCCTTCCACCCACCCTGCAGGAGACCCCTTTTCACAGCAGGGAACATCAAGGCTTAACACTGAAAGTACCAAGGCAGAATGTTGAGGATGTGGAGTCAGTGGTGGCTGGGGGCAGGGGTGGGCGCTCCCACAGCTGAGCCTCCTGAAGACGGGTCTTGGGGTGGTGAACTGAGAGATGGGATATCCCAGAACCCTCCTCTTCTGCTCGCCCTCAGAGTGAAGGCGGGCAGTGCTGTGCGACCTGGGAGAAGTCACATGACCTCTCTGGGCCCCCTTTCTGCATCTGTTCGATGACTCTGACATCTTCCATCCCCCTCACCTATGCAACAATAATTGGTCAGTAAATACAATTTTATTTGTTTTGGCTTTTTTTTTTTTTTTTTTGAGACGGAATTTTGCTCTTGTTGCCCAGGCTGGAGTGCAATGGTGCGATCTTGGCTCACTGCAACCTCTGACTCCAGGGTTCAAGCCATTCTCCTGCCTCAGCCTCCCGAATAACTGGGATTACAGGCACCTGCCACCATAATCTGCTAAATTTTTGTATTTTTAGTAGAATGGGGTTTCACTGTGTTGGCCAGGCTGGTCTCGAACTCCTGACCTCAGGCGATCCACCCGCCTCGGTCTCCCAAAGTGTTGGGATTACAGGCATGAGCCACTGCGCAGGACTTCTTTTGGCTTTTTTTTTTTTGAGACGGAATTTTGCTCTTGTTGCCCAGGCTGGAGTGCAATGGTGCGATCTTGGCTCACTGCAACCTCTGACTCCAGGGTTCAAGCGATTCTCCTGCCTCAGCCTCCCGAGTAGCTGGGACTACAGGCGCCCACCACCTCGCCCGGCTAGTTTTTTGTATTTTTTAGTAGAGACGGGGTTTCACCATGTTAGCCAGGATGGTCTCGATCTCCTGACCTCGTGATCCGCCCGTCTCGGCCTCCCAAAGTGCTGGGATTACAGGCTTGAGCCACCGCGCCCGGCTTTTTTTTTCTTTTCTTCTTTTTTTTTGAGATGGAGTCTCTCTCTGTCGCCCAGGCTGCCGTGCAGTGATATGATCTCAGCTCTCTGCAACCTCCACCTCCCAGGTTCAAGTGATTCTCGTGTCTCAGCCTCCCAAGTAGCTGGGATTACAGGCACCTGCCACCACTGGTGGGGAGACTGGCTTCATGGCCAGACTCCAGGACTCTTACGGGTCAGGGACCAACAGCTGGGGAGGGCCAGGGTTTGGGGTAGGGGCAGAACAGAAGAGAACACTGTCTATGCCAAGCCCACTGTGTACCAGATACTCCACCAGCAGCTGAGAGGGTCTCCCTCAGTCCTCACAGCAGCCCGGGGAAAGCAAGGCAAGATTCACAGATGGGGAAACCAAGGCAGGATGAGCCTATGAGCCTGGTTCCAGGCCCCACAGCTGGGAGGCACTGGAGCTGGGATTTGAACCAGGGCTGTGACCTTCAAACTCTCACGCCCAACCATATCTGGCAGTCGTCTCTCATATCCGTGTCTTTCCCTGGCCCTGACCTTTCTGTGTATCTCTGTCTCTGCCCTCCGTGTATCTCTGTTGGGTCTCTCAGGGTCTCTGGCCCCTGTGTGTCTCTGTCTCCTCTCCTCTGGGTCTCTGTGTGTCTCTGTCTCTGCCCTCCGTGTATCTCTGTTGCGTCTCTCAGGGTCTCTGGCCCCTGTGCATCTCAGCCCCCTCTAGGTCTCGGTCTCCCATGAGCTCCGTCCTCTCCCTCTCCCTCTCTCCCTGGCTCCCGCCCCGTCTGTGCTGCTGTGGTCCTGGCTGTGCCTCTGTCCCTGTGTGTGTTTCCAGGGTGCCCCTAAGCATCAGCCTGTGAAGGCGAGTTTCTGTCGCCCGTCCCCAGCGGTGGCCTAGTGCTTGGAACAGTGCGGGGCAGACGGGAGATGCTCAGTAAATATTTCTCAAATGAATAAAGGAATGAATGAGTGAGTGAATGAATGAGCTCGCTGAGATGGGCGAGATCAGTGCCATTTCCCAAATGAGCAACGTGGGCTCCAGGTGGGCGCCCACAGGCCCAGAACTGCCAGCCCGGAAGGTTCCAGTGTGGGCTTGACACTGACCCCCTGGACTCTGCCCCCAGCTGAGCACCAGACGCCAGGACGTGCCCATCACTGCTCCTCCCCGCCCTCAGAGCAGGGTGACTCCCTCTGGCCTCTCCCCGCTGTCGGAGGCGTGGGTAGCAGCTGGGAAAACCGGCTGGGTGCTGCCCCTCCCCTTGGGCCGGGCACGGAGTAGGCACCTGGCGGGCTCCCCAGGTGGCAGACGCTGTCGCTGCGCACACCTGGCCTCCGTGCCGCCTGCTCCCTGCTCGTCCTCCCCTCCCCACCCTCACCCACCTGCCATGGACGGGCCCGCTGAGCCCCAGATCCCGGGCTTGTGGGACACCTATGAACCTGACATCTCGGAAATCAGGTGAGGCCCAGACCTGGGCAGGAGCCAGGAGATCCCGGGGAGGACGTGGCTGTTTGGGAGAGCCAGAGGCTGTGGCAAGGGTGGCCTCCAGCCTCCCATGGCGGCAGGCCTAGCCCAGACTTGGTTGGCGGGGCTGGGCTGGGCTGGGGCATCCAGCGTGGTGTACAGGTCCCTCCTGAGAAGGGAGTGAGGACACGGCCGTGCTGAGTCACCAGTGGGGATGCCTGGGGTGTCCCTGTCCCTCTTGGGGCCTCAGTTTTTCTGTCTGCCAAAGGGGCTCACAAGCCCCGTGTGTCTCTGATAGAGGAGTGGAAGAGAGCAGGCCGCTTGGTGCACAGTAGTTGCTCAGGAAACACAACGGCCTGTAGTGCCCAGGACACCCCATGCAAGCCTGAAATAAGGGGGGTGTTTGGGGTGAAATGGGAGAAACTGGGACGCCGCTGAGACCCAGAGGGAGTCTGTGTTCTAGGGGGCTTGGGGCTGAGAGGGCAGGCTCCGGACTCTTCAGGTATCCTAAGAGTGGTTAGGGCAGAGCACTGCCCACCTCCGTGAGCTCAGCGTGACTCCCTGTTCCTGGGGATGAGTCAGGCACTTTGACAGCACCTGCTTTCCAGGTGGGGAAACTGAGGCTGGGAGGGAATGCGACATGACCGCAATTACAAAGCTAGAGGCAAATCTGAAGCCAGTCTGTCTCACCCCAGAGCCTGTGGTTTCTCCTGCTCCTCACAGCCTTGGTGATGTCCCTTTACACCCCTCCCCGTGGCTCCGTTTTTCAGGTGAGCGTGCAGAGGCCCAGAGAGGGCAGGCAGCCTGCCCCATATCACACAGCGAACTGCTGAGACAATCTGCAATCCCTCGTATCTTGTACTCTTGCCAAGTGAGACCTTCCTGGCAGCCTGGACCCCTCCAGCCACCGTGGGCTGTGAGGAGGAGGACAACCAAGACCCGTTCTCAGCCCAGTTGCCTCATTCCTTTCTTATTTTATTTTATTTATTTATTTATTTTGAAATGGAGTTTCGCTCTTGTTGCCCAGGCTGGAGCGCAATGGCACAATCTCAGCCCACCGCAGCCTCCGCCTCCCGGGTTCAAGTGATTCTCCAGCCTCAGCTTCCCAAGTAACTGGGATTACAGGAGCCTGCCACCACGCCTGGCTAATTTTATTTTTGTATTTTTGGTAGAAAAGGGGTTTCACCATGTTGGTCAGGCTGTTCTTGAACTCCTGGCCTTAGGTGATCCACCTGCCTCGGCCCCCCAAAGTGCTGGGATTACAGGTGTGGGCCACCACACCTGGCTGCCTCCTTTCATTCCACTGTTTCAGGCCCTCCCCTCCCCTCCCCTCCCTCAGCCAGAAGCTGGGGCATGGAGAGGCCTTCTTGGGTGCCTGGGACTCCAGAGACAGGCGCAGTTCGATCCTGATTGCTGTGTGACCTAGACAAGCTTCCTGGTGTCTCTGGGCCTCCTGGGCTGAGAGTGGTGACCAGGCTGGCCCAGTTCTGCTTGAGGGAGGCCCCAGCATTCGGTACTCAACATTGGCTAATCCAGGCCTTCTGAGCTCTGCAATCCTTCCCTCCAGAGATAAACAGATAAACCAGCTCGCCTCTGGGAAGGCCTCACCCCCACCCCATCCAGGCACCTGGGAGCCTTTTTTATCTCTGCTAAGGCCCTGCCAGCTGGTCATAAAATGCCCTGAGTGTGCTCGCTAAGTGGGTGACCTTGGTTCAGTCATTGACCCCCTGCGACGCTCGGTTTCATCATCGTGAGGGAGAACAGCCCTCCCCTGCGGGACTCCTCCAGCCCTGAATGGCTGCAGCGCGCTGGGGGGTGCCCTTAGGACCTCAAACTTCCAGGCTCTTCTGGAATCCCCTAGGCCAGGAAGCGTGCCTCTCCCCAGCGAGCCCACTGGAGCATCCCCCTGGGGCCTGCTTCCTCCTGGGTGTCCCCCTCTCGGGTCCCCTCAGATACGCCACATCCCCCTGAACTCAGCAGCCGCCTCAAATTCCCATCTCCTCCTGGGTTGCCCATCTCAGGGATGCCCCCCCACCCCACATCACTGGCTCAGATCCACAGGGCTTCTCCTGGCCCCGACTTTCCCCTCTGCTCGCCCCCAGCCTGTCAGTCCCCAATCCCCACCCCAGTCCCCTGACTGTCTGCCCCGGTTCTTCCTCTCGGTTGCCACAGCCCCAGCTCAGGCCTCCTCATCTCCCCCCAACACCACCTCAGCTGTCCCAGGCTGCTCCTCCCTTCCTCCCAGCCATCCTGTGAATTCCTCAGCGTCCAGCCCTCACCCACCCCGCCCCCAGCCTCCTCACCTGCATTCCAACTACTCTACTACTTTGTGTGTTTTTTTTTTTTTGAGACTGAGTCTGGCTCTGTCACCCAGGCTGGAGTGCAGTGGCACGATCTTGGCTCACTGCAACCTCCGCCTCCTAGGTTCAGGTGTATTACCTCATCTAATCCTCACCGCCATCTGAGATGAACCCACTCTGATGTCATCCCGTGTTAGAGATGAGGCCCAGAAAGGTTGAGTGACTTGCCTAGGGTCACATAGCTGCCAAGCAGGGAACAGCCAAGATTTGAACCAGGGAAGCCTGACTGTATCACGCGCTGGACAGGAAATGTAGAGATGATGAGCAAGACCAGGAAGGAGCGAGATCCAGGAGGTAGACTCAGCCCAGATGGGAGGCGTAGCAGGCACTCTGAGGTTCTAGCCTCCCGAGTAGCTGGGATGACAGGTGCGTGCCACTGCGCCTGGGTAATTTTTTTTTTTGAGATGGAGTCTCGCTCTGTAGTCCAGGCTGGAGTGCAGTGGCACGATCTCGGCTCACTGCAACCTCGGCCTCCCAGGTTCAAGTGATTCTCCTGCCTCAGCCTCCCAAGTAGCTGGGATTACAGGCACCTGCCACCACGCCCAGCTAATTTTTACACTTTTAGTATGGACAGGGTTTCACCATGTTGGCCAGGCTGGTCTCGACTCCTGACCTCAGGTGATCCACCCACCTTGGTCTCCCAAAGTGCTGGGATTACAGGTGCGAGCCACCGTGCCTGGCCTATCTACTCTATTACTTCGAATTACTTCTGGCCACACTGTTCCCTGCCACAGTGCCTTTGCTTATCTGGCTCCTTCCCCAGGGATCCCAGAGAGATCTTTTCTCTCTCTCTTTTGAGACAGAGCCTTGCTCTGTGGCTCATGCTGGAGTGCAGTGGCACAATCTCGACTGACTGCAATCTCTGCCTCCTGGGTTCAAGCAATTCTCTTGCCTCAGCCTCCAGAGTAGCTGGGATTACAGGCATGTGCCACCACGCCCAGGTAAATGTTTTTAAATTTATTATTATTATTATTATTTGGAGATGGAGTCTTGCTCTGTCACCTGGGATTTCTGTCACCCGGCAATTCTTCTGCCTCAGCCTCCCGAGTAGCCGGGATGACAGGCACACTCTACCACGCCTGGCTAATTTTTTATATTTTAGTAGAAACGGGGTTTCATCATGTTGGCCAGGCTGGTCTCAAACTCCTGACCTCAGGTGATCTGCCCGCCTCGGCCTCCCAAAGTGATGGGATTACAGGTATGAGCCACCGCGCCCGGCCTAATTTTTGTATTTTAGTAGAGACAGGGTTTCACCACTTTCGGGGCTTTGCACGCACCAGTGCCCTGTCCTTTGCCTGGACTGACCTCTGCCCTCTCTCCTTCCTTTGCCAAACTGCTCAGGCTTTAAGATTCAACACAGGCAATTTAGGATTTTTGGCCAGGGGGATGAGAGAAGGCAGGCAGACACCCACCCCAGGTTCCAGGTCCCTGATCATGCCGGTCTAACTTCAAATCTGCCCCGTGGCACCAAAATATTGGCCTGTTCGTGGATAGGAAATGAATGTGGGAAATTTGTGAAAAGGATGTCGAGAATGAATGAATGAATGGAGGTTCCATTAAGCAACCTCTGAGCTGGGGCTTCCAGAATGAGTCAGGGTTAGCAGACGGGGAGGAGGGGCAGGGCATGCTGGGAGAGGGAATGGTTGGGGCACAGGGACGTAGGTGGCTTCAGGAGAGTAAGGATCAGCTGGGTCCGAAGAGAGGCAGCCGCAGTGGAAACTCCCTGTGGTGGGTCATCCTGCAGCAGACCTGAGTGGCTCTCAAATGGTTCATTCTTTAAGCACCCCGGAGGGAGGGAGAGAAACTATTGTTTTCAGAATACACACATACGTGATTTAAAAAAAAAAAAAAAAAAAGTTGCTGGCGCAGTGGCTCACACCTGTAATCCCAGAACTTTGGGAGGCCGCGGCGGGTGGATCACTTGAGGTCAGGAGTTCGACACCAGCCTGGCCAACATGGTGAAACCCCGTCTCTACTAAAAATATAAAAATTAGCCAGAGTCATGCCGCACGCCTGTAATCCCAGCTACTCAGGAGGCTGTGGCAGGAGAATCGCTTGAACCCAGGAGGCGGAGGTTGCAGTGACCTGAGATCGTGCCACTGCACTCCAGCCTAGACAACACAGCAAGACCCCTGTCTCTAAAAAAATAAAATAAAAACCAAACAAGGAATTGACCAGAATTTAATTCAGGATAGCAGCTCAAGGGAAGAGTAGATGCTACAGGGAGGGGCCCAGAGATATCAGCAAGATGCATCGCTCAGAATGTTTTAGTTTATGGGGTTGGTTATAAATTATGCTTTAGAAATTTAATATGTGAGATCGGGCTCCGTGGCTCATGCCTGTAATCCCAGCACTTTGGGAGGCTAAAGAGGGCAGATCACTTGAAGTCAGGAGTTCAAGACCAGCCTGGCCAGCATGGTGAAACCCTGTCTTTACTAAAAATACAAAAATTTGCCAGGCGTGAAGGTGCCTGCCTGTAGTCCCAGCTACTCGGGAGGCTGAAGCAGGAGAGTTGCTTGAACCCAGGAGGCAGAGAGGTTCAGTGAGCTTGAGAGTGCGACTAGCTGACCTAGCCTGGGGTGAAGAAAGAATTGAACCCATCGTCAAAAACAAAAAAAAAGAAAAAAGAAATTT